GGACGCTCAACAGGACGCTCAACAGGACGGACGCTTAACAGGACGCTCAACAGGACGGACGCTCAACAGGACGCTCAACAGGACGCTAAACAAGACGCTTAATAGGACGAGCAACAGGACGCTCGAAAGGACCCTCCAGTAGGTGCACGTATAGTAGAACGATCAATAGAACGCTCGATACCTATATAGCACGTAGAAGGTATACGCGTAGAAGTCACGTACATAGTATATAGGAGTTAGATAATAATTAAGAAGATACGTACGTGGCGAACTAGTAGATATACGTGAACTAGTAGATATACGCGAGCTAGTAGATATAATCGAAACTTAGAATCTAAGTAAATACTAAGTAAAGTCGATACGATCTTAATACGCTTAAATCCGTAAACTATTCCGAGCCGGTCTCGAATCGATTCCGAATCGATTCCGAATCGGTTTTGAACCGGTTTCGAACTGTGGTGGAACTATAGTAGAACCGTGCTGGATATCTATTCGATCCTTTAAACGGTTTCGAAACTGTATTGTTACGGTGTTGATACTATGTGGATCTTATAGGGGGTGGGCACCTATATATTCGAGGCACTCGTCAACACCGGTCTTGAAATCGATTCCACTACGGTTCCGAATTGGTTCTAATACGGCTTCAAATGTTGATTTTATCACCGATTCAAGTACGCCGACTCGGATCAAAACCGGTTTGAAACCGTAGTAAGACCCATTCCACTACAGTTCGAAACCGTATCGAATACTGTATCGAAAATGTGTCGAACCTATATTAGCACGGTGATGAATAGTGTTGATACGCGGCTAATCTACTCTACTATAGCCTCAATAGTATACTAGCCTTCTATAGAGGCTCGATCTAGGATCGATCTGGTATCTAAAATACTATGTACTTAGTAGGTCCGAACCGAGTACATACTTAGTAGTACTTAGTAGTTTTTTTTTTTTTTTTTTTTTTTTTAGTATTCGAAGTACGCTAGAAGTACTCTTTTTTAATTTAAGACTATAGTACTGGCCTCCTGCAAAGGCTCAATCTAGGATCGATCTAGGATCAGATCTAGTTCGGACCTAGTTCGGATCTAGTTACTAAACTAGGTCTAATCCTAGGTCGATTCTTACTCGATTACTAGGTCGGAGGCTTAATCTATTAATTTCCTTAGATCTAGATCGGATCCGGATCGGATCCGAATTACGTATTAGGCTACTATAATAGTAAAAAAAAAAAGAGTTCGAACCCTACTAGAAGTACTCTTTTTTTCTTTTTTATTTTAAGACTATCGTTAGAATTTTTCTTTTTTAAATTCTAGGCGATAACGACGTCGTTACTACTCGACTACGATATTATTTATAATAGTTTTTTTAATATATTATATAGTAATCCATATACTATAAATATTACGTAATATATTAATTTTAAAAAATTAAAGTTTTTAACTAAGTTAAGAAGTAATTCTCGATATACTAGTTAGTCTATAGCGATCTCTATAGCGATCTCTATAGTAATCTTCTCGTAATCCTCTTATAATCCTCTCGTAATCAATCTATAATACGTTACTTAGTATTTAGCCTATAAGTGATTCTCGAGTAGGATCGGATTAGGATCGGAGTAGGGTTAATATAGCGTCGATATAGGATCGATATAGGATTAATCTTTTATAGGAGGGCATGTATGTACTAAGTATCGTTAGAATCTTTCTTTTTTTAATAGGAACGTCGTTACTACTCGACCACCACGTCGATTTTTTTTATAGTAGACTTATATCCAAAATCTATAAATATTACGTGATTTATATATTTTTATAAATTAAAAAAATTAAAAAAAACTTAATTAAGTTACGAATAATTCTCGATACGCTAGTTATCCTGTAGCGATCTCTATAGTAATCTCTATAGTAATTCTCTCGTGATTCTCTTGTGATCCTTCTATGATCTACGATACGTTACAGTACTGGCCTCCTGCAAAGGCTCAATCCGGGATCGATCTAGGATCAGACCTAGTTTAGACCTAGGATCTAAAGTAGATCCGAACCAGGTCCGAACTAGGTCTGATCCGGATCGGATCCTAGATCGGAGGCTTAATCTGTTGATTTTCTCAATAGATCAGATCCGGATCGGATCCGGATCACGTA